GAAAATGTGTAAGTGATGAACCTGAGTGCATATAAAACGATGTTTAGTCTCACCAACATCCACGTAATTCGCATGAATATAGTCGTTGGTATTACCGGCTGGATATTTGAGTATCACCCGATTTTGGTCCAAACAAAAAACATCTTAATATATCAAACATTATCTCCATAAAATAGCCATTCAACATTGGCTATTTATATCTGTGCACTACAGCCGTACACAAATGAAATGCAGATGGAAACCTTTATATCTGTTCTTATCTTTGTTTTTATCGAACGCCGTTTTAACGAGCTGCGATGCAGGTTTTGTGGTGGATGCTTTAACTACTAAGAATTCCTTTAATAATCCCTGAACGTTGAATTCATTAACTGCTTTCATGTTGCGTCTCAATCAACAGTGCCACATGAAATTTATTATCAATTATCATTGCAACAGTGGTTCATCGCACGACAATAAATCCAATCTATGCATTGCAATAAGAAAGAAATTTGCTGAATCCGCAGTCAATTTTCATTCTTTTCAGACACCTTCTGATCACTCTCTTACATTCTATCTATTAAAAACGTTTTCTTGTTGCCCTTTTCATTTTCGAGCACCCATTTCTATTAATAGTTACAGTCGCATTCTTATTCATTGTCACATGCTTTGACACATGCTAGTCGTTGCGTCAACCATTGCTGGTGATTAACAGTATCACGATGAAACGTATCGAAGAAATTGTTTGCTTTCATTTATCAACCAATGACTATAGATCTCAAGCTAACAGTTAATCACAGCCTGAACAATATGTGGCCAAGACATAAGACAGTGTTTTTATGGTGAATGGTATTAAGGGTGTCTAACCTGAACACCCGTATGAATACATGAACTGCAAAATTCTTTCATATTCGATATCATTTGCGGATTATCAACTTTTCTTTTTGTTCTTAAAGTGGCAGGACGTTTCTTTTGCTTTATATTTCGTTCCATCTGTGTACCGTCCTCCTCATTATGACTGCCTTAAACTTTAATTATAACTGATTGTTCACATATCCATCCCTTCATTCTATCCTCTCATACTACTCGCTTATTTTATAGGAGATGACCTACTTCATCCGGTAACTTTATTCAGCCTAATTCACTGGTACCCACTGGACTGTTCTCTTTCCTCTCGAAGAACACGAAGCTTTTTGACTCATTCAAGTTTCTGTCAGAAAGGCTTACCCTTTACATTTAGATATGGTCACGTCTA